CATATTCAATGAATATTCCAGTTTTGTTTTGTTGAGACAGGATCTCACTATCTAGTTCAGGCTTGCCTTAAATTCAGTATGTAGCCCAGGGTGGCCTCAAATTTATGGTGATTCTCCTGCTTTAGCCACCTGAGTGCTGGGGTTACAGTATGTGCCACCACACCTGCAAGTTTATTTTTTTCCTGTGTATTTTACTGTTAGATTATTTTTGTCCAGGGACGACTACTAATCTGGGTATAAGCATTCTAGTACATGTACTTTCACGTACCTATATTCATGTTTCTGTTGGGTTTATAGCTAGAAGTGGAATTGTGAGTGCATAGAAACTGCACAGATTAGCTAAATCATAGATTCATTAGATACTACTGAAGCTTTCTGTGGTCAGTTTCTCCTTATGCCAATATCAAGTTGTCTTAGTTATTATAACAATAAAAATTCTTTCTATTCAGCAGTGTTTTCTTCTTCAAAACTGGTTTAGATTATCTTGGCCCATTGCACTTTTACATGACTTTTATTAAAGGGTTTGTGATAGCTTTTCAGTTCTAAGTCTTCTTTAACCCCACGACATTGAACCATAGTTACTTATTTAACCAGGGCCTCACGCATGCCTGCTTTGCCACTGAGCTACATTCCCTGTTTTTTGTTTGTTTGTTTGTTTAAGACAAAGTCTTGCTGTATGGTTCAGGCTGTCCTTGAACTCATTCGCAAACTCAAGCTGGCCTTGAACTTGCCAGTGAGTGTCCTGTCCCAACCTCCAGAGTGCCAGGATTATAGGCTTGTGCCACCCACTCTTGGGAGGCCTTTTAAAGTTTTTTTTTTAATTTTTGGGGGGAGTATCAGACTTGAACTCAGGACAGCACTTTTGCCAGTCAGCGCTGTGCCACTGAACTAAATCCCCAGCTAAATTCTATTCTGAGACTGGACTTGTTAGATTCCCCAGGCTGGCCTTCAAACTTGCCACTTTGACTTATTGCCAGGTGAGACACAAAAATAACTAAGAAAAAATAAATTTTAAAAAGGAAAAGTTAAAAAAATAGAAAAAACACCTGAATGACTCAGACATCATTCTTTTTTTTTTTGTCTTTATCGGTACCAGGGATCGAACTCACGACTGCCTGCTTGCAAGGCAGGTGCTTATGCCGCTGAGCTAAATCCCCAGCCCCCAGACATCATTCTTAATATAGTGCTTATTACAACTATAGATGGTTAAAATCCAAATACATGTCTTTAGACAGATGTGGCGGCACATACCTGTAATCCCAGCACTTAAAAAGCTGAGGCAGGAGAGTAGCTATGTGTTTGAGGCCAGGCTGGGCTACAAAATTGGTTCAAGACCAGCCTGAACTGCTGAGTGAAACCCTGTCTCAAAAAAAAAAAAAAAAAAAAAATAGAAAATGAAAACAGTAAAACCCCAAATACATGTGTTTCGAGACTGGCCAACTACTCTTCAGCTTAGACCAGCATGATCACTTCTATTAGTGTATATGAGGAATGGAAATGAGAAAGTTTGGGGAAGGCAATGACACTTGTAGCAGGACTTATAAAACAGAGCACTAACAAGTTAGAATGTTGTAAACTTCAGTTTGCTGTGAGAATTAGTCTGTGGAAGCTCACAGTAGAGGCTGGAAATAGACTGTAGTCCAGAGTGGTGGCCCTCCACGGTTATGCTCTATCCAAATGTTAACTTACATTGAAGGACTGTCTTTGCAAGTGTGATTAACATAAAAGATGAGATGAGATCTTCAGGGAATGCCCAGTGGTACCTTAAATCCAGTGAAAACCTTCCTTCTAAGAGACAGAAGGGATGACACACAGAGAAGGCCAGAGAGGCAGAGGTAGGCTGTACGGCACTATGGCCATGCAGCTAAAAGAAGCAAATGGGTTCTCTCCTAAATTCTCTGCAGGAACACAGCCTTACTGACATCGTGACTTGTTTGTTTTAAGCTATAAATATGTGGTAATTTGTGTGTCAACCACAAGAAACTAGCACATATGGGTTGGGACTAGAGTGCATTCCGGTAGAATTTTATACTGTAAAATATATAAAATATATAGTCAATGTATGCATTTCTTTAATAAGTATGTTAGGTACATACCAGATTCTGTAGAAACAAACATGACATTGGGATATCTCTTTCTTCTCTTTGGGTATTACCTTCCTTCCATTCCAGTAAAGACTAGAGGCCAAGGCCTTTCTTTTTTTTAACTCTATTCTTTGTGACTATCACAAAGTATTCATCTGTGCTCAGTAAACATTCGTTGAATAACTAAACTGAACTTTAAAGTTTGGTTCATCTTTGTTTATTTAGATATCCTTTGTCTTTAGTTGTTAGCACAGAATTTTGATTTAGTAGTCTTAGAATTCAGGACATACTTTATCTATTTAGTTGCTTGGTTGGTTATTTTTTTAGTGGTTAGTTGGTTAAATCTAGGGCCTTGCACATGCTTAACAAGTATTCTACCACTGAGGTATTAGCTTAGATTTTATTTTTAATGAGCAACATGATAAAACGTTAAGTTAGTTCAAAAGACATTTTTTGAGCTCAATATGATGACACCTGCTTGTAGTTCCATCACTCTGGGAGGCTGAGGCGAGAGGATCAAAAGTTCAAACCCAACCTGAGCAATTCAACAACTTAGTGAGACCATCTCAAAAACAAAGGGCTCCAGGGACAGAGAGAGGAAAGAAAGGAGAGACAGCAGATAGAGCAGAGAGAGCAGAGAGAGGAGAGAAGAGAGAGGGAGAAAGAAAAGACATGTTTTTCTGAATTGGAAAATAAGCATCTATCTGACAATTTATCATCACTTACAACCCCTCCCTCATTCATGTGAAACTAATGAAGGATTCATTAGTATCATGAACCATATTTTAACTGAGGTAATGGGAAGGACTTACGATAAAAAATTTACCTTTTGGAACATTTGTAAATGAACATAATTTTCCCATCCTGGTCAAGTGATGACGTCAGGGCACTAGTGTTCTGTCCCTATCAGTTAGGGTCTAGGTGGTATATGAAGGTGGGAAACAATGTACCACAGGTCCTCCTATTGCCCATTCTTTATTACTGTTCTGGGCTCTGCTCAGATGTCACTTCCTCAGAGGCCTTTTTGACTATCCCATTTAAAAATAGTCCCTTACTGTTTTTCCTCCCTGTTTCCGTATCTGTTCCTTTTCTCCATATTATTAATTGTTATTTTCCACATCCCTGGTAGGTAAGGAATGTTCTTTCAGTGTGAAGATTAATAAAGGATCCATGTATAATGTCAGACACATTGTATACCCTCAAAATTGTTAGTTTCTTTCTGTTTACATCCTCTTTATTGAGATAAAGTATCCTTTCCCATGCAGCACATTCACTCCTAGACATAGAGGTATCCTGAAAAGAATGATATTTAAACTGTAGGGCCCCTCCCTTGCACAGGTCTCAAACTGGTAATGCTAAAGGATCTCCGCTTCTGTGTTGGGGCCCAAACTCACAGCCTTGTGAGGCAAATGCTCTTAACACTGAACCTTCTAGAACTTTTAAAAAGTTTTTTAATGGAGGGTTTCACTATGTAGCTCAGATTAGCCTCAAATTTGGGATCCTTTTGCCTAAGCTTTGCAAGTACTGGGATTATAAGGGTATGCCACCCATCCATTTTGGAAACACTTTTGCGTAAGCATATCTAAAAGCCTGAAAGTTCTGAATCTCCAAATCTTGAGTCATTCGCTATGATTTATTTTCCCTTTTTACATATTTAATTAATGTTAATTTCAGTTTGTTTTATAGTTATAATTTGTATTTTATTTCATAAAGAGACACCCCAAATTGCGTATTTTAGGCCCAACAAAACTGAATTTACTCTAGACCAAACCTATTTATAGATTCCATTAAATAAGCATGAATGCATTCAGAGTCTTTAACACTGTCAACGGAGCAGCTCCAAGATAATTGCCTCCTCTGCACTGGGTCTAGTAATTTAGGGCGGTTTTCAAAATCACTGGGAGGTGGTGCACACCTGTAATGCTAGCACCCCAGGAGGTAGAAGGATCACACATTTGAGCCCAGTCTAGCAACCCAGCAACTTACTTAATAAAAAACAAAACATCTAGGGATATAGTTCAGTGCTAAGACCCTCAGTTCAATTCTTGGTATCAAAAAAAAAAAATCCTCTAAAAACCAAGTTACTTGCATTTACCATCAAAAAAAGTCTAGGTATTTGATACATTAATCCAACACGATTAACGTACCTTCTTACTGAACTACAATTTGAGGCAATAGTTTTTTGCTTGTTTTTGTTTTTGGTACTGGGGATCAAACTCATAGCCTTGCACTTGTCAGGCAGGCTCTAGTGCCGCTGAGCTAAATCCCTAGCAATAAAAAATATTCTGATCCTTGTGTTTCCTTGCAATTTTTGGTTGGCCACATCAGGGTGGGAGTGGGGGGCCCACCTTCCCTAAGTGCACTCTAGATCCCCCATTTAAGCCCCTAAAATGTAATGGAAACTCCCAACCCATAACAAATACTGGGCTATTTGTGGATGCAAAGCACCATGAAGCCATCGGCAAAGGAATTCGTGTCTTTAATGACTGAAGGAGACTGACAATAGTAGGACTATTAGTAGTACGCAGTAGTAGTTTCTGTTCTGGATTTGAACACAAAAGCCTTGTTTTGCTAAGCCTGTCTCAAGTGCACCCACGTCCTTAAATCGCTAGGTGCTCCACAGCGGACATTTACCCTGGGTCCCGGTCCAGTCTCGTCGACCTCCACTGGCCTGAACTCCTCTACTTGCAGCCTGGGCCTGCGCCGCAGCGCGACTGAGCTGGGATTCCCTCCGCGCGGTAGAGGGAGCCCGCGGGTCGCGCGCTCGCCGCCGCTCTCCACACCTGCAGAGCCCGGGCCTCGGTCAGCAGGGCTGCCTCGGAAACGCAGCGTGCGCCCTCGCCGTTCCCGAGAGCGCCCGGCCCCCCACCAGCTGTCCACTGTCGCCCTCACTGGAGCGCCCAAATGCGGCCTTACCCAAGGACCCTGGGGGCCGGATTTTGGAATTAGCCGGTCCGGACCCCGAACCACCTGCCGCAGACTCCTGCGACCCGCTCCCCGACGTCTCGGCCGGGTCGGGCTCTGTGGAAAACCCGGAGCGGAAGACTCTCCGGCTGTGCGGCGCGAAATGAGCATGCGCAGTGCGCTGCGCTGGCTCCTGGCGCAAGGAGGAAGCGTTCGCCGTGATCCCAGCGGCTGCGCTGGGAATGCGGTACCGGCTAGCGTGGCTGCTGCACCCCGCGCTGCCCAGCACCCTCCGCTCCGTCCTCCGCGCTCGCCTGCTGCCCCTGGAGCGTCTCTGTGGGTAAGCGGCCAGAGCGCCCGGCCTCCGGGCCCGCGGGTCACCGTGGTTTGGCGCCCCGTTGCAAAGTGGTGATTCAGCACTTCAAGCCGCTGCCGCCGCCCCTCACGCCGCTGGTCCCGCCGACCTGGGACGCGGACGACCGTGTGAGGCCGCCCCGCAGCCTGGAGGCGCGGCTCGGCGGCGGGAGCCAGGGCCTGGGCCGCCGAGGTCGCGGGCAGTGAGCCGGGGACGCGGGCTCGGACCTGGTTCCCGGGAGCCGCTCAGGCGGTCGGCCGTGAGAGGCTGGCGAGCTGCCGGACGCCCTCGCCCTCGGGGGGAGGAATGCGGTGAGCCCAGGGCCACCGCTTCTCACTCTGCTCTCAGCTTTTTCTTGAGGCTATCGAGTTCCAGGACCAGGGAAATGCCCGCCTTGGGAACTGTAAAAGTTTGCCTGTCTCAGCGGCAGTGAGGAGACCGTGTTGGGGGATATTGGGGAGCCTCCGCAGCAGCTCCCTCAGTGTACCCCTTGACAACGGAGGCCAAAAGGGATTGTGTGATTTCCCCACCGGTGCAGAGATTGTGTTAAGATCAGGATTAGGACGCTGGTTCTTTTTGCCGTCCGGTGGCGCGCTCCTTCCACTTCAGCACTGCTTTGTGTATAGTAGAAATTATCAGCGCTGTAGTTAACGCCAGATGCCTTCATTGTAAATAGGGAGAGACGTGCTCGCCTTGGCAGCACATATAACAAATAGAAATAGGCAGTATTGTCTGGCCCAACTTAGGTCGTTATTTGACTCCTCCTGGTGTTAATCAGTAATATGTAGGACCTGTTACACTTGCAAGGCGTGGGATAAACGCTGTGTGTATGTGGTGGCCTGCCTCCCAAGAAATTTTGACTGAGTTGGAGCGGTTTGATATGTCACGACAGTATGGTCAGCTTTCAGCCTACTATTCAGAATGAATGTGATAATGCTGAGAAAATGGAAAGGATGGACAGTTTGTGCTTTAGGAACCGTGGGGGTCAGAGAATTAGCGTGTCTAGGCTGGACTTAGAAGGGAAGGCAGAAGAGGTGGAATGTGGGTTGGTGTGAGTGTGATCCAACCTAGGTGTGCAGGTAATTTGTGTTGAGAGGACAGTGAAGAGATTAGTTGAAACTTTAGAGAATTTTCCCTGAGGGAATTAGGAGGCCCTAGTCCCATACCACAAGAGCTGGATAATGCTAGCCTGGGCCTTGAATTTTAGTAGGAATTTTTTTCCCTCTAATTATTACAGTAGAATTATAGTGAATATTGAATAGGAAGTCAATAAGGGGTTTCAACTGGGATGATCTAATTAATGTAGTAGTTTAAAAATTCAGTGTCTCTGGGATGGCAGGGGAGAGATCGAGAGAGATTGAGATCTGAGTCAGAGAAACCTGCCTGTGTGATGGACTTAGGCTCTACTGCTTAGACTGTGACAGTAGCCGTGATATTAAGAGGAGCTATTGCAATGGAAGAGTCTATGAAACGGTCCCCCTCTCCCCCTCTCCATATTTTCCAGGACACCACAAAGTCCTCTACCACATAGAAAAAGAAGTAAGGATAAGTGAATACAGGGTGTGTGCCTCCTTCAGTCCTCTTGCCATTCAGAATACTTTCTTGTATCCTAAATTCATTTCTGGCAGGCTACACTCCGATTGTCCCCAGCGTGTCAAATTCGTAATTTAAAGGAAGCATCTATTTTAACAGTTTTGTATACCTAAGTGCTTTGTCTTAGGTAAAAGTTTCTTGTATGGGTCTCTCCTACTGCTCTTAACTTTCATTGATGAAGTCTAGGGCATAGCATGACCAACCAGAGGTTCTTGCTCTTTTTTTTTTTTTTTTTAACTTTTTATCGGTACCAGGCTTCGAACTCACGACCGCCTGCTTGCAAGGCAGGTGCTTATGCCGCTGAGCTAAATCCCCAGCCCCCTAACCAGAGGTTCAAGATAAGGTTCTTGAGAGGGAAATTCAGAAAATTGAAACCAAGATAAAACCTCACAGCTCTTTCCTGGAAGACCATGGATTTAATCAATGTCTATATGGCATGAAAGCTTGAGCTACTAACCTATTGTGTTATACCTCCTCTCTCAGTATTTGAGCATTTGTTTCCTGGTCAAACATCTTGACAAAGAGATGTATAAGATAGTATATGAGCTGGGTATGGTAGCACATAACCTGCAGTCCCAGCATTCGGGAGGCTGAGGCAGGGATCAGCATGAGTTCCAGGCTAGCCTAAACTACATAGTGAGACCGTCTCAGCAAACACACAAGAAAGATCCTATATGTTATCTTGTATTCAGATAATTTCTTAGTGTTTCTTTATGGTTTATCATATTTGAAATCTTACATAATCTTTTGTCTGCTTTTAATTTTATGGAAAAAATTTTTTGAGTTTTTTTCATTTAACATTTTTGAGTCCCATTCATATATGTTTGTGTATACAGATATAATGTACACATGTATGTCATTTGTGTATATATATAATTACAGTGATTCATTGCTGAACGATGATTATATTCAAATATACCATTCAGTATTTTTCTCTTGTTAATTATGATTTGCCCCACCCTATCAGTAATTCATGTTATTGACCTGTCATACCTAATCTTTAGGCCTGTATTGACCTAATCTTCAGGCTTCATCTCTTCCTGCACTCATCCATTTAGGTTTCTTATCCAGATGTATCAGTTTGAATCAATTCAGTTCCTCAGGCAGCCTGGCCATTTTTCTTTTTCTTTTTTTTTTACGTTTTTGAGACAGAGTCTCACTCTGCAGTTCAGGCTGGCCTTGGATTCACTTTGTAGTCCAGGCTGGTCTCAAATTTGCAACAATCCTCCTGCCTCAGCCTCCCAAGTGCTGGATCGTTTTTCAAGACATATAACCCACATGGTGGGACAATGCAGAAACAAAAGATAACTGTCATCACAGGAATGCAGTGAGATAGGCCTGATTGATATTCTGGTAACTACCAAAAGTCTACCTAACCAAAACCTCTCCTCTGAATTTCAGATTTTGGTCGTAAACTTCCTACTCAGCATTTCCTCTTGAGATTCTGTGACTGTTAATCCCGATATCTCAATTTCATTGATTAAGAAGTGCCTCACACATTAGTAAAGCATGCTTCTGGGTTTATCTGGGTGGGTTATGAAGGCAATGCCTTGAATACTACATGTGGTCCCTCACCCAGTCTTCTCTGCTTCCCAGCCATCATGAACTAAGCAGCTTTCCTCCTCCACACCCTTCCACCATATTTCTGCCTTAGAACCAGTCTGTAATTGACTGAAACTGTGTGCGCAAATAAATCTCTCTCCTTTAAATTGCTGGTGTTGGGTATTTTGCCCCAATAATGAGAGAATGAGTAACTGGTACCAGAAAGTGGGGTTGTTGTGTGACTGTGGTTCTGTGGTTTAGAAGCCTTTGGAACAAGTTTGGAAAGGTTTGGAGATGTGGGTAGAGGGGAAGCCTTATAATATAGACAGCAGAACCTGATGGGTGGTTCTGATTAGAGTTTGGAAGACCAGAATACTGATATGAATGCAGACAGTAAAAGGTAGGCTCAGGACATTTTTGAAACAAGGACTCTGATGGCATTTGGACTGTGTATATTGTACTCTGGCAGAAAGTTTTCCTATATTTTGGCTGTGTCCAGAGACTTTGTAGAGGACTGAGATTAAGGGCTGTAGACTAATCAGATGGAGGAAATTTCAAGACATCCCAACATTCAGGCTGTGGCTGGGTACTCATAGCTGCTTTTAATTCTACTTATAGTGAGGCTCAAGGGCAAAAGACAGAGCAAAAAAACTTTGGAAAACTTAAATTATGACCCAGAAGGAAGCATGTATAAAGTTGGGACCCAAAGAGGTTTAGCCACTAGTGGTTAGATCATCAAAAAAAAAAAAAAAAAAAAAATTCCCAGTATTTTGTACAGGATGAGAAGAAAGATGCCTTGAGGGCATCTCAGAAATCAGCAAGACCCCACCCATTGCAGCACTCAAGGGTACAAAATGTCAGCCTTTCATTTGACAAAAGAGTCCCTGAGACCCCCTGTGCTCAAGAAGAGCCTCTATGGAATTGATTTCCTTAGATTCATGTCACTGTGCTCAGCCAGCAAGGCATTCAGAGGCTTCTGTAGGCATAATCCAAGGGGACCTGGCTAGTGCTCCTGCCTGCAGCAGGTCTTGTCATTGTCTGTGTGATGCTGGTTGTGCTGGCATACAGAATGCAAGGGTTGAGGGGTCAGGGAGGCCTCCACTTGGATTTCAGAGGAAGACCTGGAAGATCAGGTAAAGAGATCCTAAAAGGACAGTGTATAAAGCAGTGGAAATCCTAGGAAGATCCTGGAATGTTCTCTGAGGAACGCTGAAGGGTGTAAGGGGAGCCAGCCCAAGAAAGAGGCTATGTGGGCTGTTCCAGCAAGGCCAGAGGAGTAGGCCCCCAGCCTCTGGAAGTCTGTCTACCACCATTGCCCTAGATGCTAGACATAATGGACTTGATGTTTACCCTGCTGGGTTTTGGTCTTGCTTAGGTGTGAGTCTTTTCTATTCACTCTTCCTCCTTTTTGGAAAGGAAATGGTTGCCCTGTGCCAGGGTATTATGCAGTGTGTTTTTGATTTACATAGAAGTTAACAGCTAAGAGTTTGTGTTGAGTCTCAAAGAGACTTGGAGTTTTGAAAAGTGCTAGAACTGTTGAGACTTTGGGGAAGGGATTGTTGTGTTTCTGACTTTGTGTGGGATCATTCTGTTGTTAGGTGGAATTGCGAGTTTGTTATTGTCTTTATTTTGTGTATGGTCTCTTGCCTATTTCTTTCTGGCACCGTTCTCCTACACTGCTTCCTGGCTGCTATGAACTGAGCAACATTGCTTCTCCACATCCTTCCCCCAGGGGTTTCTGCCTTGGAGCCAACCAATCATAGATTACAATGTGAGCCAAAGCAAACTGAAACTAAACCAAAATAAATGTCTCCTCTAAATTGCAGGTGTCAAGTACTTTGTCTCAGTAA